GTACTGATATAGAATATTTTTTTAAAAACTTATTCTTATATTCTTTATATCTTTTTTCTACATCCACTTTCATATTTCTATATCAATTTCTCTTAAAGAACCGATATAGAATCTTTTTTTTGAGACTTATTCTCTACATTTTTATTCTTTTCTATTTTATCTTCTCAAAAATATATATTTGAAATATATATTTGAAGTATATATATTGAAATATATATTTTTTTATCTATTATAAAATATTAATATTTCTATCTCTTTTAATTATACATAATGGGCTTTATCGGGTGGATATAATTCTTCTTTCAATCATAAAATCTAAAACAAAACTCGGACGTGAAACTAAAATATATCTAAAATATTACTTTTTAATTTTAAAACAATTGCCCCTCGCGTAAAATATTTGATAGGTTTTAAAACTTTTCAAAGTAAATAGGTCGGTAGGTAGTTATCTGTGTAGGTAGGGATTTATTATCTACAAGCGCTTGTAGAAAATAAATTAGGCCGGATAGATAAGAAATATGTTAGATCGGAGGTAGGTAGGTAGAAGAAATAAAAATGTACAATTAGGATCAAGGCTGTAATGCAGCCTTAATCCTAATTAATGAGGCTAGTAACGTTTAAGATATGTCGGATGTTTAAGATAGGTAGGTAGGATTATATATACTATGTATATTGTATAATATTGTATTTTATATGTAATATATGTAAACTCTATTATATTGTATGTTATATGTAATATATGTAAACTCTATTGTATTCTATTATAATGTACAAAAAATTGTAAAATGAAACTTGAAAATTGAAAACACACTGATAAAGAATTGTAATAAAGCAGAGTAATAGATATCCTTTTTGGAATTGCAACTTTTCAGACGTATATATTTGTGTACCGGCAAAACACCTTTGTGTAATATACATGTTTTTTTGTGTAATTTGTATTTATACGTATATATGTAGTTTTTGAGAAAATAAAATTTATAAAGCAAAAAGCAGCAAATGATGATGTAAAAGGAGATGATACACTCCACGAATTCTGATGCTGCTCGCTAAAATAATATTATTTTCTTGACTATCACATCTTTTCTTGTATATCACAATTTATATTGTGTGGAAAGTTGCAATGTTTTGTTTTATTCTTTTCTGTTCTCCTTTCGTATCTTCTCATCACGAGATCGGTCATTTTAAATTTCAAAAGAAATCAAATCCACGCTTGTGAATATACTCACACGCCTGAAGAAGGTGACCATTTGGACGCGTGCACGTAGCACAGAATAGAACCGCATGCTGTGGACATAGCGCACCGACATTTTGCTCGTGGACTGGATGCGTAGTTCCAATGTGTACCACTCGTGGACATGCGCTAGTTTACAGGGCGGAAAAGTGATTACACATTCTTTTATGAGGCCGTGGCCGCTCTCATTCTTCTCTCTGCTCATGATTGTTATGAACCGTTATTTTCAGTGCGCATGGGCGAAAAAAGGGATCTCTCTGCTCTGATTGCATTGAGTCTAACCTGTTTATCCCGATCGACTAAATGGTTTGATAATCGAGCTAAACAATATATTTGCGTGCCTAGAGAGATTATTTAAAACATTTGTAACTTTAGTGTAAGAAAACAAACAGGTTTATACTTGAAGAAGTTATTTACAATGGTGAAACTGACGCCAGATTTGATAGAGCAATCGATGCAATACATTAATCCTGTGCGAGACCGCGAATTAGATCTCAGAGGTTCGTATACGTTGCTATTTCTCCAGTGTCGGTTTTGTTTTTTAGTATGTAACTTATTTCGTTAATCGTGGTTTTATTTATGTTTCAGGATATAAAATACCCACTATTGAGAATCTAGGTGCAACCTTGGTAGGTATATATTCTATATTCTCTGAAGATTATAAAAAAACAAATTTATACTTTGAGTTGAAAACAATATTTGTTTGTATCTAGTTTTGTTTTGACACTCAGGATCAAAAGAACAATATGTTTAAATGTTCTTAAATATTAATGTGAAATATATTTACTTTTAGATGTTTATATTTATGTGGTATATGTTATATACACAGGGTTATCAGATATCTGGAATTGGCTCGGATAGTTTTGGATTTGATAGTCTAGGAGTTTTAAGTGAGTAATTGTTGAAAAAGAATAAATTATTAACATATAGAAACAAAAAAAATATATAAGTCTTTTAGACTTTATCTCAACGTTGAAATTAATTTTTCATGAAATCCCCTGAAGTATCTTTCCTAAAATATGATATAATCCTGTGTATACAACAATGCTACTGTACATACATATATAAATTGTTTTTCAACAAAACTTGTGTTGGACTTGATATAGTTTACCAATTAGTCACTGAAAAAATGTTACTATTCTGATTATAATATATTCATCTTGTGTTTGTTATACATAGGATCAATTTGACACAATAGACTTTTCTGACAATGACATACGTAAGCTCGATGGGTTTCCGCTACTGAAAAGATTGAAAACATTGTTCTTCAATAATAATCGCATTGTCAGAATTGCCGAGGGATTAGAGAATTGCATACCAAATTTAGAGACTCTGATATTAACTGGCAATATGATAGATGAACTTGGAGACTTAGATCCTCTGATATCGATGAAGAATCTTAAGAATTTGTGTTTGCTTCAAAATCCAGTATCGGCTAAGCCGCAGTACAGACAGTACGTTATATACAGATTTCCACAACTGAGATTGCTCGATTTTCGAAAAATCAAGCAGAAGGAACGTGAGGCGGCGATAGAATACTTTAGAAGCAAACGTGGCAAGGAAATGGCACGTGAAATAGCAAAGAAGGCAAAAGCACAAGCAGCCGGTGCGTCAGCAGATAAGCCTTTAACTACTCCTGAAGAACGTAACAAAATTCGTGAGGCAATCACGAATGCATCATCTTTGGAGGAAGTGCAAAGGCTTAGCAAATTACTGCAAGCTGGTCATATACCTGGTGAGGAACGATTACAGAATGGTATGTTGTTTTACATGTTTTCACATTTAACTCAAAGTGACACATAAGATATGAATTCTATAAAACTTTTTTTTTTTTTTTTCACTACATTACAGGAACTGCAGAACCAATGGAAGAGGATGATGATTAAATTTGTTTATTTCTGTATGTAAAACACGAAACTTCCTATTGTAAGTATTAAGCTAACCAAGAGTACAGTGTATATCATATATGATACTGATAAGAAGTTGTATACTACACAGATGCCAGTAAAAAAAAAACATTTCAAAAAGATTTTGCTTTTATTAAAAATAAACATGATTAATGTGTTATTATGAAAATTTATTGTTGCCTTGAAGCGATCGTTAAAACTGCTCTTTATTACATATACATAAGACGAATTTTAATACATCAATATGTTTATATATTTCAGCAAACCTCAAATAAACACTTTCTTCGGACTTTCCTTCGGATTTTATTCTTGTTAAATTCCTCCTTTTGTCCTTTGCTATAAAATATTAAGTAATAAATATAAAAGATTTTTTAGAAAGTTTTGGTTTTCACAATATTATTTTTAATGCCAATGTGTATATGATTCAATAATTAAACAATTGATTTATACAGTAATGGTTTTTAATAAAATGAGAAATTAAATCTACAACATATATGTAACATATGTGTAACAAAGAAATTGTGTAACGCGTAAAGAAATGCAAATGAGATATGGTAAACTTTTGATATATCGATTTAATAACAATTTAGATACGTAAAGAATTAATTACACTTGAGACACAGTGAGTGTAAAAAAAAGTTGATCTACATATATATATCTACGCATAAGTACACATATATGTATAATATATTGTTACGAGAACATTACATAAGTTAGATCAGTAGATGTCGGTAGTCAGTACGGTGCGACGGAACGTAGTAGTGCTCTTTTACTCACACATGTTGAATATTAATTAATAACAATGGGTAACTACATTGCCACCTACATAACGCATCCTGATACCATGCCTAAAACTGATGGAAAACCGACGTTCGATCCACTAGCGGGATTTCCAAACGGTCGAAAAGTTCGTGGCAAGTATCTTTGTTCAAACCTAACCTCACATATGCATTTGTATTTTAAATTATGATTTGTTATTATTATTGCTCAAAATGTCAATTTAAGCTTTATATCTGAGAATATTTAAAATGTATGTATTCTTGTCAGAATTGCACGCTCACACATTGCCATCAAGTTACTTCAAATCTCTTTCTATGATTGGGATTATATGACATTTGTGAAGGTTGACAGTATTTTTGGAAAGTATTTAAAAATCTTGTTAGAAATTTCATAGATATATCAACGTTTAATTTAGTTGTTTAATTTAGATATTATTTAAATTATTTGCTAAGATAACAAAATTGATATTTATGAAGTTCAGATATTATTCAGATTACAATGGATTTACTGTAATCCACTATACTGTAATCCATATCTCTCATTGTTAAAACAACAAGGAATTAAAATTGATTTTAAAGTAAATTTTCGAAATACACGAAGAACCTGGGTCTGTAGGGCTCGTATTGGTCTTTTTTTTTGTTTTTTTTTTACTGTCACGAGTAATTTCAATTACTCTCTCATTGTTGATGCGTGTGGTTTATAGAAATGCCGTTATCAGAAGAGGATATGATGGCTTTCAAAGTTCCAAAAGAACAACGTGATTATTGTGCTCACAAGTGGCTGGAGTTACACGAATGTAAAAGGCGTCATGCTCCCTTGATGTTAAAATGCGCTCACGAAAAACACGAATACAACGCCTGCTTCGTTGACGAGTAAAAAAACCACCATGCTAGTTCAAATATCTATATTATCCATACGTATATACATATATATATATGTTTATTTGTTACAAAGGTAATACTAATATATAAATGTTACATGTTGCAGTTATGTCTTAAGAATGAAAGAATATGAAAGAGAACGACGTCTTCTCGAAAGAGAGAAGAGGATAAGGTTGAAAGCTCAAGCAGCAGCGGCGTAAAAATCTAGAACTTTGATGTTGATTCATATCTAATGAGATATAGAGTGCATACGCGTATGTAATAAAAAAAATCTCTGTTGCGTTCAGTTATTGTATATACATTTATGTTAATAAAGCATGTAACATTAGAAATTGTCAATTGGAAATTAATAATTTATGATTATCTTAAATACTAGTTATTCTTGTAAATTGTTCCTTTGCAAATATAATTTTCAACAATATATAGTTATATATTTCTTGTTGACAATATATAGTTAAACAAAATAATTACTAAACAAGAAGAATCCAGATGAAAAAAATGTTGCATGTAATAATGTGGTGTCTTTTTATTATTTATTTGTTTATTATTACAAAACAAAAAAAAAAGAGGTACAATATGTACACAAGTCGGCACAACGCGTGAGCGAATGTGCGCGGCAAATTGTAACCCTAAGATTGGAGGTAAAATTACCGTCTCGCTACGCGAGACACTTGATAACTTATTAATTACAATGATTGAACCTCAAAACTTATTTTTATCGTGACGTTCTTTATCTGACGATCGCGGTTATAGCGCGCGACATTCGCAACATTACTACAGGTACCTAGATAGAGCGTGCGCGCCCTTGCGTTTCTCATAGCTGCGCAGCTTTATACGAATGAAAATCGATAAAATAGAAAGCGCTGCGGACGTGCAAACTCCTCTCCCGCATCTCCTCTTCGACGGTATCGGGTCCGTGTCTCTCCGCGCCGGTTCGATCTAATTCCTCGCGCGATATTCTCGTTCTCGCTACAATAATCTCACGGCAATACATACAACAACAATAGTGATGACATGTTTTAGACCGAAGCCGAGAAAGACGTATATACATATTCCGTTAAATTAAATGATAAATTATACTTCTTTATATCGCGTCGCGCTTTTCTTTTGTCTCTTCTTGTGTCTCACGGTGAGTTTTCTCGACAAGACGAGAAAATCCGAAGTGATAAAGTATATACTGTACAAATATTATATAACATAAGATTTTCTTTCGTGTTACATATATGTGGGACATCACCTGACGTAATTTAACGTCTCTCTTTGTTTCTTAAGATTCTTTTTTTTAAGAATCGCTGAATAAAACTGTGTCATTTTTTTCACCAGGACGAGATTCATCTCGCGCGCATTGTTTCAGGGAAAGACAAATAAATAACTCACTCACGTGTGTATTTTATCAATTGTTCCTCGATATTTCTCAATATAGACTTTCTTAAATTTATAGAATTCTGATAATTCTACCGTGTGCATTGCAGTATTATTCCCTGGAAGTGTCTCCTCCTCGCCAAGCATTCTTGAGCATATATTTTTCTAATTCTAATTCTAATTCTATAAAATTTTTGTATAATCTGAAATTTTTTTGCACGTTAGAAGTCGCGATATGATGCGTACATCTAGTTCTTTCTCACACTGTTATCATAATGCAAGTTGTAAGCGTTTATATGTTTCTTTAATATATATCATTTGACAATTTACAATCTAATTGACTTCATGAAGTATCTCTAAAAATAAAAGAGACTCGCGGATGTGTGCGTGAAACAGGATAAGTGACATTTGACATTTGCTACTCTCGATATTTTTTTTTGTTTTTCGGTATAAACAATTTATATGTAAACTAACCGAACTAACAATTTATATGTAAACTAACAATTTATATGTAAACTGACCCAAAAGAAACAACTCTTCTTATACATCGCAATGTTTTATTTCGGTAATATTCAATCTAATAAGTATTCTTATAGATTGCGGTTATAAACTCTCTTGTCAAATGTCATTTATTTTATTTTACACACTCGAGTCTTCCCAATTATGCAAAAAACACTATAATATTACATTATTAAAGAAGTCTCAGAAAGTTTTATAACTTAATACTTTACATCGACCACCTTCTTGAATTATATTGAAAATATCTTTGTTTTTTTTTATTCTATCCTATCGCGCGGTTCTACTCTTCTTGAAAGATTGATCTCTCGAAGATTTATTTTTTTTTGCCATAGCAATAACATACATTTTATTATATGTATTGCGACGTTCCGCACATGTTAATATAAATATATCTGATATAATTAATATATATATATATATAATGTATACATATATATATACATATATAATGTATATAAGTATATATTTTTATAAATATATATAAATATATATATACATATACATATACATATATACAATTATAAATTATTACACACAAAAATATAGAGACACATTAGATGATTGAGTTTGAACACTCGCAAAACGTGATAACAAATACTGTAAAACGCATTATAGCAAGAGAGAACATTTTAGATTTTAATAAATATAAATGTGTAATGTGCGAGATATTTTATATGGACATATGCAATGATTGAAAACTGTTTTTATTCTACAAAGTCAACATCTGTAAATGATTTTTCGCATTCTACTGAAATTAAAATTTTTCCAAACAATTAAATTGCTAAATTGTTTGCGATAACGTCGCAATAATAATTATATAAGAACATTTTTAATTTTTTTCATACATTCTTTGTAGCGATTTTTCTCTCGCTAGAGAAAACGGCAAGATTTTGCGGAAGGCACGTGTATATGTATATATAACGTATATATTGCTACGCGTGTGTTTTTTGTATATTTACAGCATAATTATGAACTGATGAGCAAACACTGACACATCGGGAACCGATATGTACAATTTGACACACGACTTGCACTTCGCACAATTTTCAAACCGATTATTTTATCACGTTGTTCTGTAACAATCTATATAATATAATAGAAATTCCAACATCGCATATTATCATCTATATTTTTTATTATTAGTTTTTTCTTTACACAATTTATTAAACAAAAATTATTTTCAGTGTTCTAAATTGCAAGATTTTTTTCAGCAAAACAAAAATAATTAGATTTATTATTTCTTGTTATTTATAGTTTTTAAAGTTAATGTGTGTGTTGAGTTTTGTTAAAAATTGATTTAAGCGACGGAGGCCAATCGAAGAAATGATAAGAATAACGTTTGAAATTCGGTGCTTCAGTCGGTGCTTTAGAAATTTCGGTCCAAGTTGTGCGCGAAAAACCTGAGATGTGTTTTGTGTGCATAATGAATTTTATATATGTATACGCGCGGGAAATATGATAAAAATTTATAAGAAATCTTCCTTACGGAAGCAATCTTCAGGCTTGACACCAGTGAAACGTTTGACCTCGATCTACCGGGAAAGGTGATGTTCATGTATCAAGAACTGATACAATATATATATATATATCGACAATACGCGACCGAAATAATCGCATCTCTGCGTTTATATATCGCGCCTGAGAGATTTCTAACACACATTGTGCTTTTTCTCGCGTCGTTCTTATTGTATTTTTTTTTTTCAGATAAACAGAGAGCTCCGTTAAAATCAATCTGTTGGCCGACCAACTCATCTTCTAACTTCTTTTCGATTATAATAATTCCTGGTTCCCGTCAAATTTTTCCAGTCCTTCGTTTTTTTAATATTGAGTTGTTACGATATTTAGAAAATTTAAAAATGGCTGAAAACGACTGGAAAATTTTGTCCGCGGCACAATATGTGTTTTTCTCTACTGATTTTAATAGTAAAACGATAATTACTAAGATAATCTCTCTCTGTCTTTCTCTTTCTTTCTCTTTCTCTCTCTCTCTCATTTGTTAATTCATTGACGAGCGCAAAAAGGCAGGTTTTTGAAGTCAGAAGCCACCAGTGTTGAAGCGTGCCACATTTTGACGAGTACGCGACATGTATTTTCGTTCAACGGCGGAACGAAGATTCTCTTTTTTTCTTCCCCATGTGTCTCTTTGTGCGTGTTCTATTCAGCCTTGAGTTGTTTCGCGGGTTTTCCTCTACGATAGGAACTTATGTAAAAGTCGGAGAAGAGCGCGAAGAAGATCGTCGAGTGAAGTAGTAGCAGACCCGCCACTAATTTCGGATAACCACAATCGAAGACGAGAGCCTGCGCGCTGTGCACGAACACCACGAAGAACTGCACCTGAAAAATCGACACGCAAACAACTTTAGCACAACAACAACAACGTTTGACATTTTCCGCAAATAGTTTTTCGGTGAGTAAAATGATCCGATAAAAAAAAAAAAAAAACAAATTGTTCAAATGTTCTTACTTCTCGTGTGTAAAATGTAAGAAAAAATTAAATTCAAACACACACACACAGTGTCTCCGCACAATTTCTCTGTGTGTTTATATAGAGAAATTAACGTGAGTCATTAATATTTAACAGCCCGTGTGCTTTCGCAAAGCTGGCTGGTTTCGTATTTTATACGCGACGCGTATTATGTTTTTTTTTTTCCTCAAAGATCTTTTTCTCGATATTCGCGCAGCTGTGTGGGTTGCGCACAGTCAATATCATAGTTTGACCGACTTTGTTATTGCGACCGAATAGTATCGAGCGATTTCAACAAAATGCGCCAATAGGTAGCGACAACCACTATGTGCGCACATATATCTGCGACCTATATAATGTATCAGTTTTTTTTTTTTTTTTCAACGCGCAACTGTAGAGAGAACAAACCGTGAATGAAATAATATCGGCAATATACAGGGAGGAGGGGGGAGGGAGAACATTTGAACACGTTTTATCTTACATACAATCGACATTTCTCACGTGCAAATTACCAAAGACCGGTGCGTTAAAAAAATCAAAAACAATGTAAAAAACTGGAAGAAAAATAAACATCCTGTATATTTTGGCTCCTTACCTGTTATTGACATAGACAAAAAAAAAAAAATGTATTCAATGGCACGAGTGTCGTAAATACGTAAATGTCAGATATCGATTATAGAAAGTATAGACAAACGCAAGGGGCCGAGTTTTCGCACGTCTTGGCACAGACGGTTAAATTTACCGCGCGCGTTTATTTAAGCAAAAAATTGCACTTTGTTTTCGATGTAACTTTCGCTATCGTAACTAATCTACTTTTAAAATCCCGTTTCTACCCAAAGTGTACATAAAACAAGACCTGCGAGTGAACGGTTGTCAGCGACTTGTACGCGTTACTTCGAAAGAAAACTATCTCGCTCTTATGTATTTCTTAATTAAAAAATAATATATATATATATATATATATATATATATATATATTTATGTCAATCTAAAGTAAGTAATATATATATTTACGAACATTTTTATCTCACACTCTGTCAGATATATCACGTTAGATTTGCAACAAAACAGATTTCACGTCGCGCCAACGTGTATGTGCGACGCATTGTCACGTGCGAAATCTTCCGAATTGGATGATCTTTTAAATTTTCGACATATAAATGTATAAAAAAAAATAATAATAATAATTCGCCAACTAATCCCAAAGAGAGCAACTTAAACAACGATTAATTTTTCTGTTTCACTTACGTAAAAATTCGTATTGCACACACGTATTTCCTATACACGTATATCCTATTTGTTGTGTTCTATTCCGCGAAAAACTATCATTATAAAATGTTTACCTGACCACGATCTTTCGCAAGTACGGAATACATGTTGGCATTGCGGAGCCAAACTAACGCGTTTTAGCGCGAAAAAAATCTGTCGATTTGATCTAACGTTAGTGTTGCGCCACAAAAACAAAACTTCTTTTCGGTTGGGGGGGGAGGGGGGAGGGAAACGCGTTCGATTGATATCCTTATTTAGTCTCGCGATAAAATCTCTCGAGTGAGGGAAACACGTCGTAAATCGGACGTAAAAACGAGCGTGTCGTTGGATAATACGTACACCTGTATACTTTGAGCGAACGTGTGTGTGTGTGTGCGAGACGATGGTCTCTTGCGAGATAAACTGGGATAGGTGAGTATATAGGTGAGGCTTCGCAAGGTATGCGGGGCCGGTTCGGTGTGCGTCTCGCGACATGCCGGTTGCAGCGCGCGACAGAACGGCAAGGACGTTGGTGATGATGATGATGATGATGATGATGACGACGACGACGACGATGATGATGCTTGTGGTGGTAAACGGCCGGAGACTGCGATGGCGCGTAGTACCAATGGTGGTAACGGGTGATGGTGGTGGTATATCGTATGGACATATTGGAATGCCAAATTGTTGCGCCACCGCCGCGACCAGCGTGGTCGGCCGAGTCCGGCCAGCTTAAAGCGAGGTCTAGTCAAGTCGAATTGCCCAACGTTTGTGCGTTGTACTTTTCACTTTCCATCACCCCTACCCGCGCGCTCAGTGTGAAATTTTTGCCTAGGCAGAGACCGAGACCGAACCGATCTAACAAACGTCAATGGCCGATGGCCCAGAATCCGCGAGCGATCGCGCTCGCCAAGTCGCAATGTACCCGCCGTCGCGCGGCGGGGTGACCGCACCGCCAATTTTCCGAACCGGGTTCCCCTTTCTAGCCGCAAAATCAATTTTCGAATAGATATGTATATAGTAGTATCCCAATTCACCGGAATGATGATGAGAATGAACGAGAGTCCCGCTGACTTCTCTGACGTTTCTCTCAGCGCGAAAAGATGAGAGGTATAAGAGATTAATTTAATTAAACGTTAACCTTGAATCTACGTTTTGCAAAATATCTTTTATATACGCGTTCTGATAGATAAAAAAAGAGAGCTAGTTGCTTTCTCTCGAAGATCCAATGTGTGGAAATGAGAAGAACGTAATCTCAGCGGAGAAGATAAGGAGCCAAACCCCGATAGTTTGGAACGACGAGATACTGGAAACTATAGCAGCACGTTACTGTGCTAACGGTGACTATATATGTTTTGCACGGTCTCTTTATTTGCTTGATCTAATAATTCTATCTGGTTTTTTGTATATAACATATATATATGCGTGTGTGTATTGATTTAGCAGCAATAAAACAGTAAATAACATTTGCAATTCAGTATCTTCGAACGATTTAAATTTAAGCTTATGCAACGTTTGTTATACTGGTTTTTGCACGTTACATTGTAGGTCGCTATGTAAATTCTGAAACGCTGTTTGGCGGTGCAGTTTCACGTTGGTTAAAAAAAAATGCGCGATTAATTTAAAGTCTTCAGGGCCATCGCAACGAGAAATGCCAACTTGCAGCAAGACCTGTTTTTAACGTCTACATCTACCATAAAGCAGCATACCACCGACGCACGTTTTTTTTTGTTTTTTTTGTTTTTTTTTATTTTATGGTCTACGAAAGTAATTAGTCTGACAAAAATATATAAGTCGGATATAAAAATATCTAAGTCATATTTTACGTTAATTGATTATTCGAGAGTCTATCTCTCGTACTTTTCATTTACTTAATTGTGAAAAAAAGTAGATACATAAAATTAATTATTAAAATTACTTATTAAACTTTTATATTTTGTGTGTGTGTGTGTTTTTTTAATTAATTTTGTTTGGAAAATATAAAGATATATAATAATTTAGATATTCGTTAAAAAGTTATTTTTCGAACTCTCGTCGCGAAAGATTCTTCTTCTTGTGTGAAAACTTTTTGATCTTATCGTTATTATGTGTCTGTGAAGGAAAAGTGCACGCGTGTTGCATCGAAACCTGAATGTATTATGGAAGAAGAATAAACACGCGTTTCTTAGGAGGGGCAATTAGCATATTTCACGTACTACTGATGGGCACCCTTTAAATCTTTTCGCACACACACACACACACACACACACACGCGCGCAGTGGGTCACTAATGCCCGATCTCCGTTCACTTTCAACAACATGGATTATTATCCGCTCGACGTGAAATTCATGTTGTGCAAGAAGACGGTATCACGAATCGGTTTGATTCACACACGAGAAAAATTACTCGCTACTGCTCGCGCTCGAAACATTGTATCACGTGTGTCGCATTGTGTTGCGTTATATCCATCCTATCGTGTCTAGCAACTTCATATATATATATATGTATTACATTATATATAAAATATACACGTATTGGTAGATAATCAATCAGGTTCAATTATATATTGTGTAATACAATATTGACACAAGAGTTATTAACTTTTAACTTGCTAGAAGAGAGTTATTAACTTTTCTTTTTGACATAAGCAGATATAATTTTTTCAATTTTAATTTATAAGTCAAATTTATTTTTTTAACTATAATCTGTAATTGTAAAATTCTAGATTAAGAAAAAGCTTTTTATAATTTTTTTTTTATTAATTAAGTTTTCGAAATTAATCTTTAACATTTGGTGAAAAAAAAAGTGAACGTGTGTTTGTTTGAATTTTATTCTTAAAATATATATATATCTAAACGTGAACGTGAGTGATTGTTGCAACGTTATTCTGGAAAAAAAGTTGTGTTTAATTTAATTGAAAACCTAATCTCTCTACTCACCAATTGTACTGTGGTCAAATGCTTTTTCCACCACAAGAACTTCTGATATTCCGGACCCATGGCCGCTAACATGTAGTACGCGTACATGACAACATGCACCGCGTTGTTTATAAGATTGCCTAGAGTACCGTGGCCACCCGCAATGAATTTAACGCAGATCCACGTCTCCAAAGGTGTGAGAGAATGATGATACAAATGCAGGAATGTCACCTGACTGTCTTTCTTACGTAACACGAAGAATATCTGAAATTCGATGAGTAACAATATTACGACATTTTCTAAATGTTCGCGCAACATTCCGTATAAGGAATGACCTGAATTTTTAAGTTCGCTAATTTACATAGGTATGTACACGGGTTACATCCGCTTTACCTATCGTTAACTTGCGACAAAATCACTGACCATAATGATCATTGCGAAACAATACAATCTATGTCAAAATTAACAATTATGTGAAATTAGAACATTGGTATATAGTTTTTATTAAAAACAAACTAGTCAAAGTACAATTTATTTTTTTAATATTTTTATCCTTTATATTAATATGTGTCGATATTTGATAATTTATATATATGATTCTCAAATTGATTGTATTTTTTTTAAGTGTATATATTAAGTATATATATATATATGTGTGTGTGTGTATGTGTGTATATATAATGTAGTATATGTATAAACAAATATATATTTATGTACCATAGTGTGTTAGAGAATGAAATAGACTGACGCAAGACAAAGATAATGTTCGTTATCTCGCTTTCCCTTCCTCTGCCAAACAAAAATGAACGATTTGATCTATGCAAGTTTCGAAAATATCGTTTCGTATTAACGAGACGCGCGATATCTGATTTTAATCCATCCGAATACGCGATAGACGCAATAGTGTGATGAACACATTGCTCGAAATTGAGCAACGAACGATAAAAAAAAAAAAAAAAATTCGTTTCGCGATGATTCGTACGTTCGCTCGAGTTTCGTACAAACTCTGTCGAAAGCGCAACCTCAAGCACAACCTTTTTTAGACGCTTTCTCTCTTGCACGAGGGTGGATAGGTAAAAACCATCCACCTCGCAAATTGCCGGCTCCCCCGGTCTGGATGCCTGACAAACAAGTGGTAACACAGCCATCGATTAAATCCGCTTCTTTAATCCGTACAATAAGGATATGATTGCGTGTTCGGCAACACAGTCGCGGGCGCTGCTCGCTCGCGCTCGCTCGTGCTAATGGAAGCGATTGCTTAAGGGTTATTACGCTGCGAGAAGGGATACACGGATCTCGTTCTCTCATACGTGATTATCCGATTCTTGTGGAACACAAGCTGGACTGTTCTCCACTTTAGTTTTTTTTTTTTTTGTCTAATCTTTGACTTGATTATTGCGTACACGTACCGCAACCACGTTTTCGTCAGATCGTAGTACAATAATTCGGGTAAAAAAAAAAATGTGCAATGAATGTTTTTAACTACTGTTACGGCGAAAAAAAAATAGATTTTTATTTTACGCGTAAGTTTCGAAAGCAAAGAGAGAGTTTCGCAAGTAAAATATTAAAGAAAAGTGTCATTCATTTTGCTCGCGTTTGATCTCTGACAAGAAAAACGTTTTATATTTCGAAATTTATATTGCGCGGCTAAGTACACCGAGAAAAATAATACTTGTGATTTGTGTGTAGTGTTAAATCTAGTGTAATTATTTTTTTTTGCATACCTACAGCATGATTCATATATAGTTTGTTTTTTATTTCTGAGTAAAGTAGAAGAACAATTTCTTGTATATAAAATAGATGAAAGAATATAACAAAAAACATTTTTTTGGATAGACTCGAGAAAAGATAAAATCTCCAACTACTAAATTAATTAATTAATCAAAAAAAAAAAACTAAGTATGTGTTTGCGACTAAATAATGTTTTGTTCAACAATTTACTTCTCCGTTCTGATCACAACCTATTCTCTGGTTTTTCTGACTTATGGCTATTCTGATTTGGTAGTCAATGTCATTCGTGTGGGTGGTCAATTTATGATTTTAAAATATTTTAATAAGAACTTCTTTTTGTGAATTATTCTTTTTGAATCTATTAGCTAAAGATAGTTTGAAATAATAAAGCTGGGAGACTTGTTTTAACAAGAATAATTTATATTTATTAATTTCGCAATGCCATTCTGGATGGATTTTGTTTTTTTGTTTTTTTTTACGTATGAGTAATATATATTCTTTTTTTTACTCTTACGAAAAAGAACTACTGGCGGTAATATATTGCGGCAGTGGTACGCGAAAAAATTACCGGGGCATTCTGTATAATTGAGTAATATTCTCAGTGATTTCTGTAATACCTAATAATATTCTTATGTCATTGTCAGTAATATTTATATTACTGACTTTATTTATATATAAGCGGCAGTAGTTCTTTTTCTCGTAAGGGTATACGGATGAGATAATATATGTTCTGGTTTATATATATATATATATATATATATATTCTTGTTTATATTGGATGTAAAAAAATAACCAATTTAATTTATAGTCCGTTTTAGTTAATAATATTTATAGTGTTTACAAGCGCATCGCGCTCAATAAAAGTGCATGTAAAAGTGAGTCATACCGTGTCAGCGAATTCCGTAAATTTGCTGATGAAATACCACCAACAAAGATTCGCCATCCTCAAAGCGGACGGGTTGTGGGAATAGTCGACCGGTTGACATTTGTAGCTGTAATCTAACAGCCATCCGGACATTAAATGCTGCAAGAAAATAGAAAACTGTCAATTGGTATCTTCGAGTAGCTTTAATAAAACAGTTATATATCTTAGTTTAAATTTCAAATCATATTGAAGATAAAAAAGTTCTCGAATTAAATTTCTTTTTTCTTTTCTTTTTTTTTTTTTTTTTTTAAATATTTATAAAAATGTTATTGGTTTTCCAATGCAATTCTTTTGATATAAGCTGCTCAAGCACACTTCTGTGTAATATATAAACATTTGCTTTACACTAAAGTGCTAAATGATTACTTTTGATTTTCCCGTGCGCAAATAACGTTGAAAATAACGAGAGCGAAATATACATACGTTATATATGTACGTCATAGAATTATATATTCTAGAGATTTATACTGAATAATAATAATAATAATTATTATATTATATTNTAATAATTATTATTATTATTACTGAATAATAATTATTATTACTACTGATCTATATAATTATTGTATGTTATTCTTTTACAGATTCGATTTTATTTGTTCACGATTGCGATTGTTCTTGCATTACGTGTTTTTAGCAGTTCTCAAATAATAAACTAACAATAAGTAAAAATTTGATTTGAGGAGAGAGTGTTTTGAGACTGTATTTTGAAAACTGACAGCTATGTTTTTGTTTCATATAATTTACATATTTTGAGCTTTGCGTTGATGTTTCGTAAATTATTTTATTTTGCCCACTATATTATTTGCTCAATAATAAGAACAACAGCTGTTCGTGTTTTTATGTTTTGCAGTGAACCAAAAAATTGGTAGGTGTAGAGACTTAAAGGAAGCAGAAGTATCTTGAAAATCTGTCCCATTTTATGTGTATACAAATAGTTCTTCCGCTGATCGAGACTCTCTAAAAAAAAATGACTGAGAGAATGCGGTTTAGTCACTTCTGCAAAAGAAACTTTCGCGTGGATGTATAACCGTTCATTATCTGTTTCATTAACCGTAAAAATTCGTTTCTCGTTTGATTTCCAGCTCAGCATCTTACTTTGTTGTATTCAGTCGTGCGCCGGAGGAGTGGCGGACCACTCGGAGTCTCTTAGCACTTTGTGGAAAGTCGAAAACAGGATGTTTCGTTGCTAACGAAACGCGCACTAGCGCATAAATCGATTAAGTAACTGCGAGTTAAAATGTTGTTAAGAAATATTACCTATTTTCGTATTTTCTGTCATTTGATATTGTGGTGTGTAAAAAAAAAAAAAAACGGCATAAAACTACCAACAAAACAAAAAATACATTAAAACGTTTGCACAAATGCAGATATATGAGAAGAGAGATCAAAAAACACAGTTAGATATACACATATATATATATATATATATATCTGTTATTTCAAGTCAATTGTAACTATTCAAAAAACAAGTTGAGAATTTGGTTTTATTTTTTTCTCCGTGCGTATTGTCATGAAATAATTAAAACATGTCTAGTAAAAGACACGTTGAGAGAGAAATAACTCGACGAAAAAGAAGTAGAAAATTATGGCACAATTGTGAAAAAAATGCCAATTAAATAAATTAAAACAACAAGTTTTGAAAAAAACATTTGCAACTTAATGCGCGTTAAAGAGGAAAAAAATCTGGTTGTGAAATCGATCTCTGTATAATAAATGGATCCGTAGATAGATCTTATTTTAAACTTGTCCAAAGTATAACTCTATAACTTTACAAAGGTACCTGCTAAACAGAGCCGTGCAATAGTAGGTCAAGGCTACCAAGGCGAAGAAGCGGAGATCGTATCTATGGCATACCGGACGCGTATGCGGGTTCTTTATTGACAAGCTTTCTATTAATTTACGATGAAAGAACTCTGACAATAAATTCTGACCAAATTTCAACGAATGTATGTGTGTTTCTGTGATTTTCGTTTCGCGTGATTTTTTCATCACAACACGCGCGCAAACCTATTTGGTTTGAAACCTATTGATTTGGCGACAATGCTCATTTTGTTACATGTCACATCACAATTATTAATCATTGTTATTCTCAACTGAAAAAATTTGACTCACACGTATTTTTTATATTTTGTTCAAATCTTTTAATTTGATCGAAATATTTAATTTGTTAAATCAATAAGATCGCGTCGAAAATTTTAAACTTGTTACACATTACTCTTTTATTATTTGCGTTTTAACACGAGAGTGGGTTTTAAAATCGTTCCGGTTTTTAAATGCGAAATTTACGACTACGAGTGTGTCGTTTGGTACACACTCACTTCGATTAAATTTCTCGGTTAGTTTTACGTTCTCTGTGCAACCAACATTGGTAACATTTATATCGGCAGCGATTATCGTACGGGAAATCGTATATATAGATAACGATATAGAAAAATTCTATTTTGTCGATAAATAAATTTGCTCGATCGAATTTCGCATCGAAATCGCAATTAAGACATTAATGAAACTTAATTAGAACGTGTCTTACGAATTATATTATCACCTGTTTGTATACCGGGTAATACAATAATAATAATAATACTAGAACACGTTTGTTCCGCGCGTGGCGTAAGATAATTGATGAAAATTCCAAACCTAAAGTAAGCTTCTGCCTCAATCTATTGCGATTACGATTAATTCTAATCATCTCCTTTCACCGCGTCACACTTTGATGACCGTGTCGATCTCCGTGAATGGGACTCGTTTTGCGGCAGTCAACTTCGATATCTCAGAGCTTGCTAGCCGCTATCCGATCCTTTTTGATTTCAAAATGCGGTGTAGGCCGCCGATGGCATACTTACATCGTAGCCTATATAACAAGACCAGAGAAGCTGTTTGACCGGCTTCCACACTGCTAGACAAGTTCGCGAATCCCGACGGAAACACTGAACTTTGCGCGTCACTTGCTTCTCATAGAGAGAGAACATAATGACGGCTATAAGAAGACGCGAAAGTCAAGGGTGACGGAGAAGGTCGTGATCGAGCTTTCTCTCTCTCTGATTACCTTCTCTCGTTTTCTTCCTTACTCTTGTAATATTATACTCTGTTGCTATTGCATTCTCTCTGCGAGCAATGCGTTCCCGCGCACCTAAAGGTTATTACACGATCGTTAATTATAAATTTTCTATAACATTTTTCACATAAGACATCCACTTTTCTCATTTCCCTTGTTGTCATTCAACGTTCGCTTAAATAACGCGTGTACCTTCTCTAATTATGTTTTATAATGCACGTAGTTTTTTAATGTCGTTGTAGTTTTTATGTAAATGTTTTAAGTGTTATTTTATCAAAAAAATTTTTTATCGAATGAAATTCATTATCAAAAATATTTTCAATATTTTTATAGAATATTCGAGTCGATCTTGTTAGTGTTTATCTCTTACGTTTGAGCAATTATTTTTTTGATTTTTAAAAAATCTTTTTTTTTTGTATTGNACAGAGCACATATTCCTACATCAAAATTTTTTAATATCTTTAATATTAATATTGTAACATTTAAATATTTTAATATTAGAACTGTAATAATGTTGAAATTTTTTAATGGCAAGAATGATTTGAAAATGATTTAATGAAAAATGTTGCGTTTTTAATTGGAATATTCGAGTCGATCTTGTTAGTGTTTATCTCTTACGTTTGAGCAATTACCTTTTTGATTGTTAAAAAATCTTTTTTTTTTGTATTGNACAGAGCACATATTCCTACATCAAAATTTTTTAATATCTTTAATATTAATATTGTAACATTTAAATATTTTAATATTAGAACTGTAATAATGTTGAAATTTTTTAATGGCAAGAATGATTTGAAAATGATTTAATGAAAAATGTTGCGTTTTTAATTGCTAAAAATAACACGCAACAAAAATGACATTGTGATCTCTTAACGCGAGAACTTCGCATTGTAATCGATCGTGTTTCTCGAAAATATATATAAGACAGAACGCTTTTTTCTCGAACGCACAATGTATGTTATAAAAACAATTGTCAAAAACATTTGAGAGATTCTTACCTCGTAAAGCATTCCTAGCGAGAAGACAACTTGAAACGCGTTGTATGCTATTAGAACTTTTCTGAGATTGTATGGTTTTCTATTAGCCATCATACGCGGGCCGAAAAATACAACGATGTACATATAAAGGAGCACGATAAGAACTGTCGGTATTGGTGAGTCCATCAATGGCCAGTCATTAACACGCGGATCTGAGATTGTCGTGAGAATCTCTGTGTATTGATCCAAAGCCATTTTTACGAGACCATGAGCACCCACGAAAGTCCTGTTCGAATCCGTCATTCCGATCCTCAATTCCGGCTCCCTCTCTGCTACCAATTCCGCCGCTGCCGACGCCATTTCTAAAAAAACTGCAAATTAAATTTTCATTAATGCTAATATATTTTTTTACGTACAAGTAAATCAGAAAATTAAAAGTGTTTTTGTGTGTCTGTCTATCTCTGTCGTCTGTCTCTTTCTTTTTTTTTTTTTTATTCAACCGGACATTCTATCTAGTCTAAGACACGCAGGTATGTTAATCGTTTTACATCTTTTTTGGGAAAATTTAACGTCCTCAGAAATATCTCGCGTCGAACATTATTTCACGGTAAAAGGTTAATGTCCTTCCTATGCGGAGATGTCTCTGAGATGTCTCTAAGATCTTATATTCCAAGGCCGCATACCTGTTCGAATCGAAAATTCGGCCTTTAATATACTTTGAATTAATTTCTTATTAAGTTTAACTTTGTTTTTTGCAATTTTTATTTCAACATGGCTAAATCTCGAAACTGAACATTTATCATTGTTCTTGATCGCTTATTTTTAATTAAAGAGAATAGGGTAAATATTATTTCTAATAAATTTGAATACATACATAGCACATGTCTTTTTGTTAGAAAAAAATATGTCGATAAATTTATAGTTAAAAATTTGTAGTCTAAAATTTATTAGTTTATTTGTATATCGTTGTTTGTGGCGCTTTATTTTGCAAAATTGGTGCGTCTAAAAAATTTAATATTACATTCACAAGTGTGTTTCCTTCTTATGCGTTGCGAGAACTAAAATGCTTGCATATATATCGAGTCTTCTCAGAGACAGATGCGATTCCGCAATCGCTTGAAATCCGCTAATAAGTCTTTCCGCTCACGTGCGCTATTACGCATAACGTGTATTTCTAATCGTTCATCAGAGTGAATTTAACATAGATGTGGAACACGACGGGTCGGAAGTTCGTTGAAGTCGTTAAAGAATCTTGGCTTACTCATCGTCATTGTGTCGCGCTTTCGCTTTATGCAAGAATGCGAACCCTTCCCTCATCGATCCCGTTGCCTTCTCGCGTTTTCCTCTTTAATAAATCACTGCGTTAGTTTTTTTTCGACCCAAACACGCAACGATGTCAGGGAATTGCAAATAAAACACAGCGTTGAGTGCAACGCGCTAATTTATAGACAAGCTCCTTTGTTTCTAAGAAAATTTTTAGATGAACACAATTAGGATTTTATAAACATTGCAATATAATAAATTCTGATCAGCTCAAAGTATAAATATATATATATATATACATACTTTGATATAAATAAA